CGGGCGGTGGGGGTCAGGAGGCCGATCGTCCTTCGAAGCTCCGCCTGAAGTTTTATTTCAGAGACATCCGGTTCTGGTCTCGTTGTTTTCCTCTGGCTTTAAATTAAAGAAACAATATGGCGGCCTAGTGCTGCAGAAGGATTGTGACCACGGCCTCGCACGCGGTCCCAGCTGTAAGACTTTCAGTCGTCCTGGCAGGTCGGTTTTGGAGGCCTGAGGAGCAGGATGGTGTTTCCTGTCTGAGACTTGGAAACGGCTCCTCGCAGGTTTTTGAGCGTGCCGTTCCAGCGGTGACACCTGTGTGGTGATGGGCTCGCGGTTCCTGTGGGAGCGTACGTCTTCTCTGCAGTTGACCTCTGCAGAGTGACCATGTGACCTCTGTAGGAGGCCGACCACACCGTTGGACCATTAAACGCTGGGACTCACTCTGTGCTCTGTCTCCCGTCTCGCTCCTGATGGAGGACGTTCATCACTAATCCATCCTTTTCTCAAAGACACTCGGACCTGAATGTTCATGGATGATCCATTACATAATCAGTTCATGAGAAGGTTAAGCATACTCTTCCTCACCTACACGTTCTTTGTTCTCAGCCTGGCAGGAAGGTGGGGAAGAGGGCGGAGTTATGTAGTCCAACAGGTCGACAGGATGTGATGTTTGCTACTGAAGGTGGAAAAGGTTTTAAATTTGTTGACAACAGTTACATCGATGCTGCGATTATTATTTCATGTGCTGACTCGATGAAAAGTGGAGGACTGGCCCCGCCCACAGTGTTACCTGCATTTCCACCATGTTTCAAATGGCTCCTCGTGTCTGAATTGTGCTGCACAAATACGTCCTGGTCATTATGTCACTTCCTGTTAAAGTTACGCACTCGTCATGTGGCTGGAAGCTTCCTGTGCAGCTCTGCAGAGCGCGTGCATCGAGCAGAAACGATGAGCTGCAGTTATGACGTCACGTTTGTTATGTTGAACATTTCTGAGATGATTCGTTTTTTCTTTGGATGTTGACCAAAACCAGATTCACCAAAACGTCCAAATGAAACGGCGACGTCGGATCTGAGGCTGTCGGCGAGATCTGAGGCTGTCGGCGAGATCTGAGGCTGTCGGCGAGCTGCACTGTGCAGTGCGAGCGACGTTTATTTCCTGTTTCGTGAGTCCTGATGAGCTCGTGTAGCCTCGTGCTAAC